TCCAGCGGCAGAGTGACGATGTGCCGACATTAGTAGCATATAAATGACAGGTGTTCGTTTATGAGGTGAGAAAGCATATTCTTGATGCACAATGAAAAAAAAACAACATGCAATCGCAATATGCTTTTGACAATAAAACTCGGGGGAAGCAGCATCCCCTGCCTTCAGCGTCAAACAAAAACATGTTTTCCTTCCCAATTACACGCATCAATGAAGGCTGCATCCATTTAAGCCACAGCTATCTTCAGTTCCGCACGGCTTCCGTTTAAGAGCGAGTCAATTTCAGCGATCCGGCGAGGCTTCAGAGCTTATATGGATTCTTAAGTGCTCTCGCTCAAACACGAGCACACAAACAGCCAAACACTGGCGCTATTCCTGGAGACTCAAATTAAAAAGCACGAAAACACAGCCCTTTGAAGTCCCGCACCCCCCCCCCCCCCTCCCCCCTCTCTTACTGCCACGAACTACACACGGCTGTCTGGCCGTCAGTAGTGCCCCGTCCGCGGCGACCCGACCCGCTAGTCGCAGTCGCGCGTCGCGCCGCCGCCTGGCTGCGGAGCCGTCGGCGGGCGGCGGCGGTAGGCGTGCGCACCAGCCACGCGCTCTGATTGGTGATTAGGTTTCTTCGGGAGCGTCGACTCCTGGCGCCATTTTGCGCCAACGGTCTCACCTAATAAGTGGGGTGCACGTATAACCTGAAAGACAACGTCTTCTAGAAACGGAACTAGCTGTCATGATTCTACAAAGTCATCGAAAAAATCGCAGGACCCCAGCGATGATGTGTGGTACCCAAAGCGTCGACACGAGCCGAGCACGTGGTACACTGTAAGATGCGCGCCACATCGCTGAGAGGAGGGCCCACCGACCGGCCGAGCTCAGCAGATCGCCATGGGTCACAACGTATGGCCAACGCGCAGTCTGCAGAGGACCCCCTCCTCTCTCCGCACCTTGCGGAAGCAAGATGGCCTAGCTGCAATTGTACTGCAGCGAGCTTGTTGTTAGCCGTCGTAACTCAGGAGTACCGCCATATGCCATGCAGGGGACTTTATTGCCGGGTAAATGTCTGCCGAGTTTGTCCGAGAGCGTATGCACGGCGCTTGCACCGTCCGCTTCGCAGCGACATCACATCCCGTTTTCCGCCACTCCAACGTGGCCAGGAATCCAGCACAACGTAACTTTCTTGCCAGCCCGATCCCATTCTGTCACACGGCCTAAACTGTCCTGTGCGAGGGAACGTGGCGAGTTAAATTTCCCAAGAGGTAAAAAGGTGCTCAGGGAGTCAACCGGAATGAGGTGCAGGGCGTCTCCACCAACTTCGACGAAACGAGGCGCCCCGGTGGTGGTTTCCAGCTCTGATGTAGAGACAGACGAGTGTTCGGGGAGCGACAAGGATCGTATGACGGTACCGCTGATGACCATCCGGCGCCGGCGTCGCCACGCGCCCACCCCCGCGCGTCGTCACGCAGCACCGGGACAAGACTCGGTCCTCGCCGAGCGGCGGGCGAGAAGCGGGGACGGGGCCGGCCGACCGGCTGCCGACGGCGGAGGCGGTACCTCGTGCACGCGGCGACATTTATAACACTACTAACATTTTCCACGACATTTGTAGAGGCTGACTAGCTCCCCCCCCCCCCCCTTCAAGAGAGGTGCGTCACCGCGTGGACTGAGCAAGCCAGGCCGTCCGGCCACCCAGGACTGGGAGGTAAACGTAACACGAACCTGACACAGTCTGCCCCTGGGCCAAGAGGTGACGGCTTCGTTGTGACGTGACTCAACGGGCCCTCCCGGGTGAGCCGGCGCGCGCCCCCGTAAGCGCGCGGCCGCGCGTGACCAGGGATGGTCCACGCCCAAGCGGCAGACGTTCCGGCGCCGGAAGCGGGCGGACGGGGGCAGGCGGCGCAGTCACTCACCGGGCCGACTCTACATGACGGCGGGCGCCGAGTGCGTGCCCCCGCCAGCCTTGAACTGTTCCGTCTCGTGGAAGATGAGCTCCTTCAGCTTCTCCTTGGGCAGGTCGTCCAGCTCTGTCTCGAACGTGAAGGGCTCCTCGGCCACGGGCTGCGGACAGGCAGGGCAGGCGGACGTCAGCACACACGCCGCCGACCAGGGGCTGTCATCACAGCCCAGCCGCCGCCCGCTCGCCGCACCACTCGCGCTCCGCCGTCGCACGTTCGTCATCCAGCCGCCAACAAGACACACGCGCGCGCCGTGGCGAGTCGGTGCCCGGCTCCGCGAATCAGCTGCTATTTCAGGAAACACCACAGCACAGAGGCCGGCGCGCAATAAGGCCAGGATAAACAGGCACGCAACACCCCGAGCGGGATGCCAAACACTAATCGCGGCGAAGAGGCGTACGCGTCCGAGCCATTCCCGGGCGCCGTGGCCTCCTCCGGCGGGGCAGCACGAGCAGCCCGTCATCGCGCGGAAAACAGCACAAGCCACGGCATTGCACGGCGCGTCACTTGAAGCCATACCCGCAGCGCCAACGACATCGTAAAACAGGACGGTAATAGAATGGCGGCCAACTGCCCGGAGACGTCCCCGTATTCGCGGCGCGCCGGAAAATTACTCAGCGGCGGCGACACGTCGGGCGCGACCACCGCCTGCCCATGAGGCCGTACCGACGGCGACGGTGCCGCCGCCTGACACGCCCGTCGTCAGAGCGATGAGCAGCACGAGCGGCGCCGCCGGCAGTGCGACAGGGCCGGCCGGCGCCCGGCCACGGCGGCGGCGGGCCAGGGCGGGGCGCCGGCCGCGGCGCCGGGGTCGGACCGACGGCGCCGCGCGCTGCCAGGCTCGGAGCCGCCGAGACGCCGGCCGCCGCCGGCCGACCAGCCTCAGAGAGGGCAGCGCTACCTCCTGCGGGGTGTGCTGTGCCTGTCCGACCCCTCACGGCCACGTGGTGGCTTCGGAACCGCCGCGCGCCGCGACACTGACACCGGGACCAGCGGTGTTCAGTCGGCTTTGGTAAAGCGTGCCAGCGTCCTGCGCGGACGACACAGCCTTCCAGAATGAAGGCATTCGTTTGCGGATGGAAAGTGTCAATAGGCCTGCACGTGGAGGAGCCAGGGGCGAGCTTAGTAAATAATTCGAGCTTTCATGTGGTGACGCCGAAATCCCCTATCACATCTACGCGCTAGACGCGTCACCTGTTATTTGAGTGAGAGATGGGGCTGTGTTTTTCCAATGCAACAAAGCGCCGGTCCGTTGAAGGGGGCTTCACCTGCGGGGTTGAAGTCAAAATGGCCCAACCACATGCCCGTTCTTACATCAAAAGCTGGCCTCCACCGTGGGAAAATCGACAAGCGTTTGAGGAAGGCCGTCGGCGAACGGGTCAGGCCTCGCAGGGCGCACTCGACCCCGCCGGCCGTGGCGCGGCTGCCGGACCCGGCCAAAGACACGCCACCAATTACAGCCGGCCGGGCCGGCCGGGCGGCCCCGGCGACGCCTACATCGACCCGTTGCCGGCGGTGGCTCGGCTCGGGCCTGCTGGCGGGGCGGGGGTGTGCGCCGAGTGTGCGTGGTGCCAGCGGCGGCGGGGTCAGTGGCCCGCGTAACAGGTGCTTCCTTGTCCGTCCTCCCCTAGGGGCGGATACTCGGACGTAAGGAGGTGGACTGGTCTTCCAACCGCAGCAGACCACGACACAGGACCATCACCTTCCCTAAAATAGCACGACTTGACAAGATCATATTCTTGCAAACAGCCTGACATCGCAACCTTGCAAGTCTGACCCCGCTGAGGCAAGTCTGACCCCACAAATACACACCCTCGAACAAGTCAGCCACACGTCACACCCTCTCGAAACCGCACGTGCCAGGTGTATGGAAATGGCGTCAGTCCACTACCACCCCATTAAATAACCCGGAGATGACGCAGCCACAAATGTCCCGGCGTCATTTACTGTCGGAAGCTATCGCAGAAAGGCCGTTGGACGGCATGTGCAAGGGCTATCTGGACTGTACGCCATGGCGTGCCATTGCGGGCCTTCTATGTGCGGAGGTGAAGCGCGTATGCCTGCGAGTTCGCGCGCTCACCAGCGCTGGCCGGTGACGCTCACCAGCGCTGGCCGGGGCGGGCCACACTCGACAGCGAGAGTAACACCGGGCGTCCAGTCCGCCCCATCGCCAGCGCGCTCACCAGCGCTGGCGGGGCGGGCCACACTCGACAGCGAGTGACACCGGGCCGTCCAGTCCGCCCCATCGCCAGCACGCTCACCACCGCTGGCCGGGGCGGCCACACGACAGCGAGTGACACCGGGCCGTCCAGTCCGCCCCATCGCCAGCGCGCTCACCAGCGCTGGCGGGGCGGGCCACACTCGACAGCGAGTGACACCGGGCCATCCAGTCCGCCCCATCGCCGGCACGCTCACCACCGCTGGCCGGGGCGGGCCACACTCGACAGCGACAGTAACACCGGGCCGTCCAGTCCGCCCCATCGCCAGCGCGCTCACCAGCGCTGGGCGGGGCGGGCCACACTCGACAGCGAGTGACACCGGGCCGTCCAGTCCGCCCCATCGCCAGCACGCTCACCACCGCTGGCCGGGGCGGCCACACTCGACAGCGAAAGTGACACCGGGCCGTCCAGTCCGCCCCGCCGCCGGCACGCTCACCAGCGCTGGCCGGGCGGCCACACTCGACAGCGAGTGACACCGGGCGTCCAGTCCGCCCCATCGCCAGCACGCCCACCAGCGCTGGCCGGGGCGGGCCACACTCGACAGAGAGAGTGACACCGGGCCGTCCAGTCCGCCCCGCCGCCGGCGAGCAGAGCACGCGAAACGCCCGGTGGTGCGGCTGATCACCGACTGCCGATGGCGGGCGGCGCACGCGACAGACGAGTCAACGACGACCCCGGTGGGAGGCAGGCGCGATATTGCAGACTACTCCCGGCGGGACACGGGGCTCCACGCATTAGTGCTACAACTCTCATCGACAAGAGTGTTACGTCATTACATCCATTGCTAACACCTGTAAACCGCATTAGTGCTACAACTCTCATCGACAACAGTGCTACGTCATGCTCGTCAAACTTATGCTCGTCAATATTTTTACTGCCAACACTTCTGCAGCCATTACTTATACACAACATTACTTTCACCGCAAAAAAACTACACGCGACAGTGATACACCGCAAAATTTGAGTTAAAAAATATATACTCGTCATTACTTACTTCCACTGCAAAAATACACCAGTCATTACTTATACACGACTTTACTTTTCTGCAAGAACTAAAACGCAATATTAGTGCTACACGACAAAACTTTGTTTCAAAAACTTATACCCGTCATTACGTCTACTGCAAAAACTTATAGTTGTTGATTACACGGCACTACTTTTACCGCAGACCTACGCGCGACATTAGAGTCACACGACAAAACTATTCTTCAAAAACATATAGCTGTAATGACCTTCACTGCAAAAACTCGTATAGTCTTGACATGTAAGCAACAGCATTTCTACTGCTTGCTGCGAAGCGCCGGATGCGTGGACACCTAACAGGGGTGTAAAAAAAAATGGCAGGTTTGGGGGAACCCCAACTGGGCTATACTACAATTAAATGTTCGTGCTGCTGATACGAAAAGTTATCTATTTATCATGTACCGTAATTTTGTCGGTTCGCGGTGTTTGCAAAGGCCGTGGTTTGGGCTGCAAGAGCTCAATTACGCGTACAACTTTTAAAGTAGAAGGAATGTCACGATTCAGTGAACGCCGAGCTGGGAGGGTAGTTTCGTGTCCCGTCAGTGGCCCCATCTACCCTCATCTGTGATAGGAAAATACGTTTCGCACAGGAATGTCACGCAGAACTACCGCCATCGTGTGTCCATCCACGGCTGGAGTTAGTGGATTGTGACCTGTATCTTATTGCACAAATATGACATTTTAGTATTGGCCGAAGAAGTAAAATAGCTGAAAAGTTACGACTATATGAGTTTTTACAGTAGACGTAAGTCAAGTATAAGTTCTGTCGTGTGGTACTCATGACGTGCATATATTTTCGCAGTAGAGGTAATGCAGCGCATAAGTTAGAGCCTGTACAGGTCTCTGCTGTTTTCCAATGACGGGTACGCGTTTTGTCGTGTAATTCTCGTGTCGTGGCATGATTACTTTTTTGCAGTAGAAGTCATGCTGCATAAAAGTAAATATTGCACAAGTTTTGCAGTAGATGCAATGACTCGTTCATTGTTTTGAGAAATTTTGTCGTATAGCACTCGTGTCCTGTACAAGCCTCCGCAGTGGAGGCAATGTGGCGTATAAACAGTCTGTATAAAGTTTTTGCGGCAGAAGTAATGTTACGTACAGCTGATGTCATAGCGCTCCTGCTGGTAGCCGTTTTTACCGTAGCACTGATGCCGTGACACCAGGACGCGGGTCCCACCGCTAACGCCCGCGGACCCTTGCGTACAGAAATGTGATCACGCGCGCACCGCGGCGTGCGCGGCCGCGCGTGAACCCCACCACTGCAACCGGACACTGGTCGAGGAATCGTCATCACGCGAGGCGCGCACCGTGACAACAAGCACGGTCTGCTCGCCGTCCAAAAATACGGACAACTCTGAAACGCGCCACCGCCCTCTCTCGCCCCAAGCGTGCCCCTGCGCGCCTGCCCACCTCGTCAGCCGGGTCGTAGTACTGCTCTAGGTAGGGGTGGCCCAGCGCGTCCTCCACCGTGATGCGCCGGTGCGGGTTGAAGGTCAGCATGCGGTCCAGCAGGTCCAGGGCACGCGCGTCTGCGTCCGGGTACAGCGTCGTCCACGGGATGCGCGGCTTGTACGGCAGCGACTGCAGGTAGTTTCGCGCCTGCAACGATCATAATGTCAGTCGGCGCGGTCGGCGGCGGCTGCCGACGGCTGGCGGGCTGGGCCGGGCCGGGCCGAGCAGGTGCAGCTCCGCCGGTGCGTGGCGGCAGCGGCGACGGCGCGGCTCCGCTGGTGGCACAGCGGGACGTGCGCCGAACACTGCACACAGCGGCGGGACACGCACCAAACAGGGCACACAGCGACGGGACGCGCGCACCGCACACTGCACACAGCGGCGGGACGCACACCGGACACCGTACACAGCGGCGGGACGCGCCCCGCACACCGCGGCGGGAAGCGCACCGCACACCGCACACAGCGACGGGACGCGCGCCACACACCGCACACAGCGGCGGGACACGCACCAAACACTTCGCACGGCGGCGGGACGCGCACCGTACACCGCACACAGCGTCGGGGAGCACACCGCACACAGCGGCGGGACGCGCGCTGCACACCGCACACAGCGGCGGGACGCGCATCGGACACCGCACATAAACGGCGGGACGCGCATCGCACGCCGCGAAGTGGCGGGACACGCACCGCACACAGCGGCGGCGCCATCGCAGCGCAAGGTCAGGCTCTCCGGCGGCCAGCCTCACCGTCACCGCCGCGGCCTGCTTCCAACCATCGTCGAAGTCAGTGACGTCAGAGGCCGACGAGTCTGGTCGAATAACGTCAGAGCCCGGCGAGACCGGTCGGATGACGTCAGAGGTCGCGAGGCCGGCAGAGTGACGTCGGAACTCGACTTTTATTGATGATTCGTGAGGGTGTTCAGTACCAATTACCAGGCCCGACTAGCGTTAATTATGGGCATCGTGCTCCAAGGCAACGCATGACCTGGATCGACGGGGACACAGTGAGGGAGGAGGGGGCGGGAGAGACAAAATCGATACCGATGCAGATGCAGGTACAGATACAGATACAGACCTACGTAGACGCGAGGGAGAGAAGAGAGCAACGCGAGCGAGAACGAGAACGAGAACGAGAACGAGAACGAGAACGATAGCGCGAGCGCGAGGAGCGCGAGCGCGAGAGGCGAGAGCGAGACGAGAGCGAGAGAGAGCGAGAGCGAGAGCGAGAGCGGAGCGATAGCGAGAGCGAGAGCGAGAGCGAGAGCGAGGCGAGAGCGAGAGCGAAGCGAGAGCGAGAGCCGAGAGCGAGAGCGAGAGCGAGAGCGAGGAGAGAGAGAGAGAGAGAGAGAAGAGAGAAGAGAGAGAGAAGAGAGAGAGAGAGAGAGAGAGAAGAGAGAGAGAGAGAGAGAGAGAGAGAGAGAGAGGAGAGAGAGAGAGAGAGAGAGAGGAGAGGAGAGAGTAAGAGAGAGGAGAGAGAGAGAGAGCAGAGAAGGAGGGAGGGAGGCAGAGAAAGACAGGTAGACAGGTAGAGGGAGGGAAGCAGTAAGGGGAGGCAGACGTAAGTAGTAAGCGGGTAGGAGAGGCAGGGAAAAGGGAGGAGGGGGAAGAGGAACGCAGCGGACGGGAGCGGGGAGGAAGAGGAGGAAGAGGAGGCAGAGAGGAGGGAGGCGGAGAGGGAGGGAGGCAGAGAGGGAGGGAGGGAGGGAGGCCAGGAACCGGCGGCAGGGACGGGGAGGCAGGTGCACCGACGACACCTCGGGGGGCCGTCGATCAGGCACTGGCTCCCATTTGTAACAGCTCGCCGGGCGCGGCGCGGCCGCCGCCAGCCATCAATCTGTTCTGATCGCGGCGGCCGGCATCGGTGCCGATCGCCGTCCCCGAGCACCGCTCCCGACGAGAGGTGGGGCCGCCCTGGCCCGGCTCGTCACACCCCAGCAGTGACGCGACACGGACAGAGCGGGGCACAAAACATGACCAAATACAGACATTGCGGAGGGTTAACCAGCGCTCGTGCCCAACAACGTACATGGCGCTGAGGAAGAACCAACACCACGCCAAAAACCGCCCGGAGCACGGTTCAGCAGAAAGGACAGCTGGTGTGCGGCTTACCTTCTCGTTGATGATGCACTGAAGGTCGTCCTGCGTGGGACTGCCCAGCACAGACAGGATGTGGTTCAGTTGGTCCAGGTAGTGGCGACCCGGAAGATAGGCCGGTTGTTCAGCATCTCACACAGGATGCATCCCACCGACCAGATGTCGATCGACTTGGTGTAGCCCTGCCGACGGCATGACGCGGTCAGGGTAGCGCTTGGGTCACAGCTCCACGGCTGGCCACCGGCTGGCAGGGACGTCCCGTCACGTGACGCGTGACGCACGGCCAGGCCCGGAGAGGGCCGCCGAATGTGGCGGAACGGGCCAGCTCGCGACGGGCGCCCCGCTCACGGCCGCCGACCGACACGCCCCAGAGAGACGCTGGCCGCCAGCTCGTCTGCAGGGGCAAGCACGAGGACGGCGTGCTCGGACCGCGGCGTCGCCCACCGCCGGCAGACGGCCGTCAACGACCGTTCCCAGGGGAGGGAGACGAGCGCCACCGGCTAGCAGTGGCGCCGTCGGCGGACCGACCGGCCCCCACAGTCGCCGAGCCCCCCCCCCCCCCTGACCCGGGCTCAGCCTGACCTTGGCGTTAGCAAGCGGCGCGGAGGTCCGGATCCGGCTCAGTCAGGGGTGGGGGAGGAGGAGGGGGAGGAGACGGAGGGAGGGGGAGGGGGGCTGCCAGCGACCGGCCCAGACCGGACACAATCAATGCCCAGCGCCGCGCGTGCGGAAGACGAGCGCAAATAATGTAGCACGCGGCCAGGATGCATGGGAGCCGCGGCCGCCCGCCGCGGGAGGTCAATAAGATCGCTGACGACAGGCGGCCTCACACAGCGCGCCGGAGCGACGGGACAAGATAGCCACTGGCACCAGATGAAAGAGTGGGAAAGGGATTCCCACACCCACTGCGCACCACAGTATTCCGGAGAAGGTCCCAGTTTTCCATTTACATCTTACAGCAAAGATCATGCTGTCGTACCCGTTGGCACGTTCTTGAAAAAAAAACCTTGACGATACATGAACTTGCGATATTCTGGGTGTGCAAACCGACACGACGGTTAAACACATGGAAGCCGATTTCCGGTGCCCGAGTTCTGTGACTTTAGCTCGGTGTTAGCGTGCGGTTTTATGGTGAACGTGCTCCTTGCCTTGAGCAAATTAACTTTTTTTGTTCTCACTCTGAACGCCCGGGGAGCCGCAGCTATACCTGAGACTGACCAGCGCGTCTCATCGCCCTTTGAAAGTTGTCGTGAGACATCAGAGGCCTGTTACCGGCCTCTGTCAGGCTCCCGCAAGAACACCGTAGAAAGGAGAAGCTCACGATTGACTGGACAGTGGAGCCGGCAGTGGAGCCAGTCAACGGACACCAACACAGCGCGGCGCACGCGCATCGGAACGGACTGCTCCGCGTCTAAACCAGGCCATCTTGAGGACGAGCCTCGCCGCCCCGACATTGGTGTCGGCAGGTCAAATAGCGGGCACGCACAATATAAGGTCATGTTACAGCATGGGCGCAGGAATGTTTCAAAAAGTGTGAGGGGAGGGGCAGGTTCAGGGTATATTTATGGAACTTTCGCTGGGAAGCGAGACCTGCAACCGGGAGAGGGGAGGGGTAGAGATCGGGACATTGTCTGGTCTTGAAGTGACAAATACACATTTGTATCGGGATTTGCAATGAAGTAGCCATTTTGAAGATCCTTCGGTGCATTTCACAGCTGCGCCCTCATTAAGACATAAAACCCTTTAGTATCTGAGCTACACGCCCGCGAATATGTGCAGACTATTTCGGGGAGACTATATCCAAGGTCACTCAAGTATCCATGACGCCATAACGTCATTCAAATCCTGCCAATTGGCCCTCAATCCATGTTGTGCACGGTACTATGACGTAATCAAACGATGACGTATTGAGGGGCGTATTTACCAAACAGAGAAAATGTGCTGTCTAGAACGGTCTTTTCAAAATAACAGCACACCGATCGTCATAAGTGAGCATATTTCAGCACATCCGATGCTTGCTTAATTATCTTCAAACGTGGAACATTCCGTTTAATTTACGTAACATGTATGGGAAATAAATGTGATGGTTGCTGTGCCAGATATACATCTACGGCTCTTCCCTACTGGTGCACAATCTTGCCTATTCCAGCCTTCTGTGCCATTCTGGTGATAAGACTATTTGCTTCCCAGTCTTCTGTGCCATTCTGGTGACAAGACTATTTGCTTCGCAATGCCATTCATCCATTTCAACATTCACCCATTTTCCCTGGAGAGGTGAATTCCACGAGCGGGTAGGCATGTTGGGACCGCAAACGAATGAACGTTCCCAGGCGAACATTGGCCTCTAAGGGGCTCTCGAACTGGAGGCCCTTAGAGGGATACATCATATCAATTTGAACTCTATGAACATATGCGGGGTGACTGTGAGCGGCCATGCAGAGGAATCAAGGTTATATCAAAAGTGAACTAAACGCGATTAAATCTAAAATGTCTGGCAGTTAGCATCATTTAGCATTAGCAATGTCTGGCCCCCCACCTTGCAAGAAGTGGGGGGGGAGCAAGCCCCCCCCCCTGTTCCTACAACCATGCGCTACAGCGTCAGATAATAAGCCGGACAGCGAACTTTTTCTTGACCATGTCGACCAAACCGGAAGGCCAATCTCGCCTCTGGTCAAGCCTTGTGTTTGGATGACATAGCCCTGTGGTGTCTATCTCCTTGACAAATCACCAACAGCGGCCAAGTTTACCTGGTCAATCTCATCTCAGCCGGACCATTCCGTGGGGTTTTGCTCATTCACGAAATCCAGCAGAACTCGAATCATCACTGTTCACAGTTCTGTCCACACACATTCTTGAACGTACGTTCCAACGGGTGCTTATTTCGGTACACACCGCATGATGCATGCCGTGGCTGAAGTAGCCTCCACGTGGACTCGGCTTAAAGCAAGCAATCTGACCACCTCTTGGGCCGCTTTTGGTTGTAGTGCACATCAGAGATGTTCGTGAGAGATGATCGAGATCACATTGGAATAAACGTCCACGTCCTGCTATGTGAAACGTTCCATACAAACAGTTGGCGGCCAATCTCGGATATTTAGGCATCGGATTCTTCAGCGCGTGGGCTGGCGCCCGTCGGAAGGGGGGGGGGGGGGGGGTCCTGGACTCTCGGGGTGCACTTCAGCTTCAGGGTGAGCTTCAAAGTTCATTGCCGGGAACATCATAACACCCAAAAGTTATCGGCTAATGTAGTTTTTTGAAGCATTAGAATCCTCTTCAGCGCTTAAACTGGCGCTCGTCACGGAGTCCTGCTCTCTGAACGACAGGCCTTGGGATGGGATTTAAGGTCAACTAGCTGGGATCTCCATATGACACAATTTAAGCATCATACCCTTCTTGAGCACAACAGCGTTCGTAAAAAGTTCTGACCTTTCAAGGTCATCCTTCGGGATGAATTTATTGTTCCATGACGGGGAAATCCATCCCAACCATACATCGCAGGTCAATTTCCGATCTTTAGACATCCGAACCTTCTGTAGCCCAAAACCTTCCCTTTGTTTTTAGCTTCAGGAGACCTTGAGGGATCGGGACGTTTGACAAACGTTGGCTCGTATGCTGAGAAAGATTGCGATTAAGATACGATTGGGATATAATATGTGATTGTGATGCGAGGCCGACTGTGATCGCTATTTGAGCTCGAGATCGGCCGGTAACTCGTGGGTGACACGGGATAAAAAGACCACGTTTGGCGCCTGGCAAAACCGAAGGATGTTACCTGCAGCAACGCGACATTAGGCTAGCTGAGATTGCGGCGCTGAAAATCGATGGTTTTGAGCGTAAAATATGCGGAAGTACGGCTAAATCGCAAAATCCCTCGATTTGTGTACCGAGACAGCCGAAAGCATTACTACTCCCACATACGTCATCGCGCACAGATACGAACAATCCATGTAAAATATCGAAGTTCACTCTACATGAAAACGCTGCGCGACGAGCCTCGAACTTAAGGCCATGTTAGCTATCTCTGGTTGTAGTCATGATGCGACGGACTGCCAAGAGGTGCCACGTACACTATTCCTTTATAGACATCATTAACCTGCGAAGACGCGGTTTGCCCGCCCGCGGTTGTCAGAAACAGCGGAAGTACAACAAATGTACAAGACGGCTACATGGGATGATTAAACGCACGTTCTTGGCACGGTCACGGGCGACCTTGACATCGTGACATTGCAGCCGTGACCTCCGACCTTACAGCCGTGACTCTCAGCTTACGGCTTTACGCAGGGCAATAGAACAGCCATATACCACAAATGAACACTATATATACCAGTATGTCAGGCGCTTACTGATGGGTCTCTCGGGTCATTGTGATCTTCATGGGCAAATTACTGCCATATATTGTGGGCGACTCGGCGCAACCCGCAGCTCGTCACAAGGCAACAGCTCTATTTCAAACAGGTCGTATCGCGCTCTTCTCGTGCCGCAAATAAGCGCCGAGAGAGGCGGTGAATAATGCACAGCTCCCATGGCGAACCCGGCGGCGGCGGCCGCGGCGCGAGCGTCAGAACCAAAAGCCGCGCGAGCACGCTGCATAATTCAGTGCCAGTGCCGGCCGCTCGGCAGCCGCTGCCACACGCCGGCGTCCGGCGGCGGCGCGGGCCGGCCACTGTCGCAATCGTCCTGACTGCGCCCACTCGGACCGCGCACGCCACCCGTCTGCCGCACGGCTGGGTGCAATACCCACGAGGTCAACCAGTAACAATGGCGTATGTGTCCTCTGACAGAGCCCGTCCCCTCCCCCTCTCTCCTCGGCGATCTCAGCGATGCAGACCTTAGATACCACTTATCTCAACGTGGCGAGGGTAACGCTTCGGCGTCCCCTGTCCGACCTCAGCGTCATACCCCGGCCCGTATGTGCGACCTCAGCGTCATACCCCGGCCCGTATGTGCGACCTCACCGTCATACTCCCGTCCCGTATGTGCGACCTCAGCGTCATACTTCCGTCCCGTATGTGCGACCTCAGCGTCATACTCCCGTCCCATACGTGCGACCTCACCGTCATACCCCGTCCCGTATGGCGACAGCGTCATGGCCCGTCCGCTGCGTGAGCTGGGTGTGCTCCCCGGATTGGGGCCGGCCGCCGTCCGTGCGTCAGAGGCCGCTGATTGGACGCCGTCGGCTGTCCGCCGGCCCGACTACACTGGGGCTCCCCGGGGACTCCGGCCGTCACCGCGGCCGGGCCGGCCCGGACGACACCGGACCAGGGAGCTTACCCCGCCCGAACAGGCGAGGTCACACCCGCCGACCAGGGGCGGTCATTGTCTGCCGACCAGGGGAGGTCATCCCGCCCGAACAAGGGGGGCCACACCTGCCAATCAGGGGAGGTCATCCTTCCCCACCAGCCCGGACGAGACCCGAACAGTGGAGGTTACACCTGCCGACCAGGGGGGTCATCCCGCCCGAACAGGGGAGGTCACACCTGCTAACCAGGGGAGGTCATACTTCCCCACCAGCCCGGACGAGACCCGAACAGTGGAGGTTACTTACACCTGCCGACCAGGGGAGGTCATCCCGCCCGAACAAGGGATGTCACACCTGCCAATCAGGGGAGGTCATCCTTCCCCACCAGCCCGGACAAGACCCGACCACGGGAGGTCATCCTTCCCGACTGGCCCGGGACAAGCCCAGAGCAGGGGAGGTCATCCCTTCCGAGCAGGGGAGGTCATCCCTTCCGACCAGGGGAGGTCACACCTCCCGACCTCCCTAATCACAACAACCAAATAGGCGGGATCCCAGTTCAGCTAGGGCAAGTCAGAACACCGTGTCAATCATGCATAAATCTTAATCATCCCTAGGGATCGGGAATCGTTTAATGTTCCGCCCGCCAAGCGCGTGACATTTTCAGTGGATTTCCGTCAACAGCGCACTAACTGACAAGCTGTCTTTATCCAAATACCTAAAACCTGGACACATCAGCATGTGAACGGTTATCATTCCTTTATCAATGACCGCACGAAAAACGTCACACCCGGACCTGAACTGAGCCCTGGCGGCACGTGCGGCGCGCCTCCCGACACAGCCGGCCGGTGGCTGACGCGCCGCCGCCCCCGCCGCCGCCGCCACTGACCTTGGAGTTGAGCATGATCTCGGGCGCGCGGTACCAGCGGGTCGCCACGTACTCGGTGAGGAAGCCCGTGTGGTCGTGGTCGGGGTCGGCCACCCGCGCCAGGCCAAAGTCGCATATCTGCCGGCGGGACACACACACGGTCACATGCAAAAGGCGCCACCTGCGGGGCCGGACGCGGTTAGCAGATTAGCGGCACAGTGTGGGCGGCGTAAGGGAGCGGAGCGAGCGGCGTCACGTGACGTGGGGTGAGAGCAGGGGGGGGAGTCTTAGGCGGAGGGGGGGGGGGGGAGCGTGACGCTCCCGTCAGCCGGCCGACGAGAGCCGACCGCGGGCCCCGCTCAGCGGCCCGCCTGTGGCAGGGGCGGGCGGCAGGCCGGCCACCATCTGGGCCGGCCCGAGCGTCATCACACGTCCAGACAGGCCCACTGCCAATCACCCGACTGACCGCAACAGTACACGGCCAGCCCCGCCCCGGCCAGACAACAACATCCGCCGTGACGTCAGCACGACACCGCGGCCGATTTTCGGCTCCGCACGGCATTGTGACCGGCCGTGGCAGCGTGCAGGCGCCGCTGACGTACGCCACGGCTCGGCAATCATGGCTGTCGGGGGCTCGTCCGTCACAGGAGCGATGCTTGCGCTGGGCCTGCACGGGCACATTTCTGTCTGTCGCTCGTACAACGCTCGGCTGCTGGTGTGCCGCCGCACCAGCCCCACATGCCGCTAGTGGCTCGCAGTGCGGCACCGGCGGGCGCGTCACGTCACGCCGCGCGTGCGCTCCGCCCCCGCACAGCCGCCTGCGTGACCCAGACGGGCGCCGTCACCGATCTGACCCGGCGCCGCCTCTCACTGGACGCGGGGACGCCGGCTCGACACCGGCCGTCACCCAGCGGGCCCGGCGCCACTTCTCACCGGGTGCGGTGACGCCGGCGCGACACCGGCCGTCATCGAGCGGTCCCGGCGCCACTTCTCACCGGGTGCAATGGCGCCGGCGCGACACCGGCCGTCACCGAGCGGGCCCGGCGCCGCTTCTCATCGGGTGCGGTGACGCTGGCGCGACATCCTTGCATTTGTGAGCAGTTAACATACGCGCAGGCGTTGACGATGGTGGTAAGGATGATTTGGGCCTATGAGTGTGTCAAACATGCGGTTATATAGTGACTGTGACGACATAATCGACTGCATGATTTAATCGGGTGTCTACTCGCCAAACAACGCATGATGAAATGCATACTGTAGAACGGTCGCAACTGCGTCAAATAAGGCGCAGTGGGATGGAACGCGCGGCAGTACAAGCGGACGCTCTGGGCAGAGAATGTGACGCGGGGGAATTGCAGGCGGTGGGACGGGTGGAGGAGGCGGCAGGTGGTGGTGGTGTGGGGGGGGGGGGGAGGGGGCAGGAAGAGAGCGGCGACGGCAGGTGACGCACGGTGTCGCCGCCGCGCCGGCGGCGGCAGTCCGGCGCGTTCGGCGCGGTCGGCGCCGGGCCGGCCGCAAAGGTCACCAGGAAGGCAGCGGCTGGCCGGCCCATTAGAGAGCGCCGTCAGGTCGCGTCTGAGCGGCGGCCGCGCGTTGACGCGGCCATCGATTCGCCGCCGAGACGGCGCGAGTCGGAAGCCCGACTGACTCGGCACCGCCGGGAGACGAGTCGGCGCCAAGTGCAGCACGCATGGACGCATTAGGGCCGGCCGCCGAGACGGCGTGAGTCGAAAGCCCGACTGACTCGGCACCCCAGGAGACGAGTCGACGCCAAGTGCAGCACGCATAGACGCATCAGGGCCGGCGCGTGGCGCCGCGATCCGGTGCGGGGGTCCGTCATCGGGCTCTGTGGCTTGCGAGTCAGCAGGAGGGCACAGCAACGGGGCGACAGGGGGCCATAACGTGAGCAAAACTAACGAGCGGCGCCTCTACGCATTCCGGTGGCTTTAGTCCCGCGCCACCGTCGCAACGACATGGATATGTAAAACGTCTCAAGGGAAATAAATAGTAGCGTGAGATATATGATGGGATGTAAGGCCAAAGTTTAGGTAGGACTAGATGAGCCAGGGCAGGCTAACTGGAGCTCGTAAGACACATGCGCCAGGTCCAGATGGTTGGTGGAAATGGGCAACGACGAACGGGGCAGGGTTGGGGCCAATCGCGTGCACGACGAATGCGAGGAATTGGATAAGTTTCGTTTGTTGGGTATTTTCGACACGTATTTTCGACTTCGTTCTCGTCGTCTCATCAAAGTCGTTTCGTGTCCTTCGTTTTGTTGTTGTCGTTTTGCGAGCTACATCTTGTTTTGTGCAGCTTCGCCTTCTGAACTCCCTTGTCGTGAATTAGTTTTTCTCAACTGATATTACGAGGAAAAGACCGACCTTGAGCAAACTATTGTATCATTATTTATATCTTATTTGTATTTGTATATCAAATTACTATTGATACCTATGCTCATATATTATCATTGTTATTGTTTATACAAAGACGATATATTAATTTGCATAAACACAAAACCATCAATTATTGTTGCTTATTCATATATACATGTTATACTTTACCTAAACGATATGAAATCACCCTACACAACTTGGGAAGGTCTCGGCTTCATGGGGGGCCGACGAAAGCCTGAAAGTTACATTTCTTATCAACAGTTGACATCAACTGCAGTCTACTTCTTTGGAACAAGACCATTCGCTTTCATCTCACACAATCACAAAAACGAAAGATGTAAAGTCACTGCAACCAAACATCCGCGCAGGTCATCTTAATTTAGGGCTGGCCCAGAAGATGGCGCGATAGCTGCCTTGACGACGGCTATGGCGGCTGTGCGCATCGAGTCACGTGCACCAATCAGATTGCCGTTATCTCTCCCGGCAAACAGTGTTGGCCACGTGCCGCTGCCACACCGGGGCGTCGGAGATGGGGACGCGGTTTCGACCTCGCTCTGCACAGCTTTTGAGAACTCGCCAGGCTAACATTTCGAATGCCAGTCGAGTGGAACAGGCTGCAATTTGTTACATTCGACGATTCAGGAGAACCAAGCCGAATCAATCGGCATATAGGAAAATGTCTTAAAATGTTGACATAGCACATAACAAGGCATTGCACTTCCTAACGATGAGGATGACGATGACAGAGCTGTCATTGATTTCTCAGCATGAAGCTGCCAACAGTACATGCAGACGGCATTCACTTCTACACAGCGCGACGGCCGAGTTGTGGGGTACCGGAAGATGCTAACAGCACGTGCAGACGGCATTCACTTCTACACAGCGCGACGGCCGAGTTGTGGGGTACCAGAAGCTGCCAACAGTACATGCAAACGCCAATCATTTCTACACAGCGCGACGGCCGAGCTGTGGCGCACCAGCCAAGTCGAGCACGCATCACTTCCAGTAAGGCTGCGTCGGCCTCCGACCTGGCTCACAATCACCATCGAACTGTCAGTTCCGATTATCCACAAACGACACACTTAAATCCAGATCGGAGCTCCGGTGACGCAAACAATACCCATCCTCGTGCGCGTGCATCATCCCCGCCCTGCTTACGCCCGCCCACGACCAGCCAAGCAATGCTCCGCTCCGCACACCCTGGACAGTCTTTGCGGCCCCAGCAATGAGGCCGTCCGAACAGCATGTTTGCCGGGCGCGGCCTGATGCCCCCGGCGGCGAGGCGGGCTCAGCAGCCCCGCACTCTGGCGATTGGTGCCGGGACAACAGGCCCACCGCACAATATGACCGAGCCGTGGCCGCCGGCGGCATGCTTTTGCTTTAATGCCGGCCGTCTCGGAGTCGAGTGGGTATTACGTGCGCTACTCCATAGGCGCCTCAACGCACACGGAGTAGCGTAAGAGCCGGGGAAAACCGACAGCCGGCCGACGTCGCCCCGGCAGCAGCGGGGTCCGGCGACCCGGGTCAGCTGGCTCGTCCGACACACGCACAGGAGGTGTCGCCATGCGCCATCCATGTCCCACTCAACACGGATGCACGAGCACGCTTTCAGAGCGAAGGCACGCAGGGACAAACACATCGCGTGGCGCAGCGCTGTTGTTTTGGCTGACGCCATTCACCGTGGTCTTTCGTTTCAATAAGTTGGCAGTGAGCACGTCTGTTACGTCTGAAGCTGTTGATCGTTCAATAATCTAAACTCGGCGTTATTTGTTTTTCCATTTGAACGTCTTGTGAAAAAAAATGGCTGAATATTGAACTGAGCATTTCTGACCGACTTTGCCCCGTAAACGTTGCGAAACACTTGGCTGATGTGAGGAGAGCAGGGACTGCTTGCTCATCACACGGTGCGGCTTCTCAAATAACGACACCATTTGATGCTGACACCGGCATATTTCAAATAAGACAAGGCCTCAAAGACACAAGAAAGCTGAAACTCATTAACAACAATCGTGCCACAAGAGCCCTGCAGCAACACAAAAAACCCATATATCTTGCTTGAAGGCGGCGCACGAGACGAGCTTTCCAACTAAGCAAACCCATACATCACAAAGCGTGCAGACGGCGACGCCGAAGGCACCGCCAGCTCCGTTCTCTCATGCAGCTGCCGCGGAGATCATATCCATTCATCACGGCGTGTTAACAAAATCCAATCTGGCAGTCAGGAAAGGATTTCCACCGGCGCCAGTGCATACCTTCGTGGCCGACTGAAAATTCATCAACCGCGTACAGAAAGGGTTATTTAAATGCGTGCACTACGTGGCCATTTCCTGCCAGACGCGGCCCGCCATTGCCGACAGAGTACGAGCGGAGGCTCGGGCGCGCGCCTCGGCGGAGCCTCACACTCCAGCGCAGCCACCGGCAGGCAACCACCACCGCAAGACCACGCGATCAGGGGGCAACCCACTGGACGCGTCTCACGCTTCGACGCAGCAACGGCTAGCAACCGCCATCACAAGACCACGCGATCATAGGGCAATCCACTGGGACGCGTCCCCTATTAGGCTGACATCTGAACTCTTTGAAAATGGAGCTCGATAGACATCCGGCTAATCTGAAAAGCGTGGGCACGCGAGCCATAATGACGAGCAGGACAGCCGCAGCAGCCTCCATAGCCGCGGTCACCTGACTGGGTGCGCCTGTGTTCGGTCCCTAGGGCGTTCCACACTTCGCTACCGTGATGAGACC